TTCTATATCCTCCGTCGAGATCGTCGGGTAACCTCAATATTTGTTATTTCTCTTTATGAGAAACTATTCACTTCAATTTTTGCAAGTAAATAAGGAAAATTAAATTTTGTCTGATGATTTAAATGTTTCTTCCCACCCATTTCTATTATCAATCAACTCCTATTCTACTCATTGTTTCTTCCATAAGTAAATGATTTTTTTTCTTATAACTCATTTTAGTCTGCCTTCCGATTGCGTTGCACCCTGGGCACGCCGTGGAGCATTAGGCCTTGCGCGTCATGTGCGCCAGATCGTTCTGCGACCCCACTTCGATGCTGATCGACTGGCAAGCCGTCGCGTAATCACTACAGCCACTAGCGCCTCAGCTGCAGCAGCTGCAGCTTCGGGCTTAACTGGTTCAGTCTCATCTTCAGCTACGGGAACATCTGGTCTTGGTAGAACTACCTCGAGCGCCACTGCTGGAGGTGTGTTTCTCCGATAACTTTCATTAATCTTCCTATTTTTCTCTCAGTATGACCCTCTCACATCCTCACCATGACTTTTCTCAGCCCAGGCTTGCCTTAGCTGAAGGTATGAGGACTAAAACGTTGTGGCTTTTAGTATGGTCACTGTTTCCTTCTGTTCTATAGAACTTCTTTTACCTTGTTTTCACAACTTGGTCACATTGATAGTAAGACCTAGAGGAACGTACCTTGTCCGGAGTCCATAGTATGCATTATAATTTCCAGAGTCTGATGGTGGATTTATTTCATTCACAGATTCCGACGAAACGTCTTTCAGTGGACCAAATTCACGATCTGGCTCTGGAAATTATCATGCATGCTATGGATTCCGGACAAGATGCATTCATCTAAGTCTTGTCTTAGTTGGCTTACATTTTTCATATTTTCACTTTTCTAGGAATCTCCTCTTCTTCAAGCACTCTTCCTTCTAGCAACCAGTCTCATTTCGAGAGCCTCTCTCGGCATCAGCGCAACTGGATGCTGGACATCGTGTTCGAGGGCCCTCTTCATACTCATCCTCATACCTGTCTTGGTGCCGGCCGTCCTCCTTTATCGGCTCGGAGGCAAGTAGCCAATACTCACGAAAATGCTAACACAGGCGACATTGCACTACCATCTTCCGGGCTTATTACAGAACCTTGTTGGCCAATCCGAGGAATATCACAATGGAACTCGAACTCTAGTCATCAGCCAGCCAACTGCCAACTTTACGGTCGTCGAAGCCACCCTAGAAACCGGGACAGGTATCATATGTGCAGGCGACTGTTGTCATCGAGGCCAACCAAGGTGCTACAGCATCAGACAGCTGAGTGGCCAGCCGGCCGTTTGGAGGACTTGGCTCAAGTGGTTGCTTACGTGCAACTCGAGTGGGCAAGCCTTGCTGCAATGCACACTCTCTGTCAGCCAATTATCCGACGTCCAAGTAAACCTTTCATTTAAGATTATTTTTGTTAAATTATCTGAATTTAACCAAATTCTTTCCTATTCCTTCTCTTTCGATAAAATCGATAATCTTTTCTGATAAGGTTTGCTTTATAGTCATGTTGAGTGTGTCGCTACAGAGAAATTCACTCATCTTTTTTATTCAAGGTCTAGTCTGGCGATACCACCCACAATGAAACGACATATTGTTTATATTAGGCTTTCGGAACTCACCATTTCTTCGGGATCTTATTCTTGTCTTACATTTAAACTCAAAGAATGCATGTGCTGATGAACAAATCGTAACCAAATATTTACATAATATATTACCGTAGCTATTTTCTTAGGTTATCCCGTTCTTAACCTGCCACAAATACAGCCGGAACTACGATTTTATGTAGGATATCTTATTACAGCGGTCAAACTCAAATGTCATCTAGTTCTGACTTTCAATTAGCCACTTTTGGGATTTGAAGTACCATTTTGTTACGGAATATCTTTTGTAGTCTACAACTAGCCGCTAAAACAGCGAAGAACTAAATGTGTCGGTGTGTGAATTGAACGAGGAATTTTAGTCCTTGTTAATATATACTCATGGCTTTCTTTATTTAAGTTTGTAAATTAAAAAATCTAAAGTAGTTATTTGACCTTGTTTTCGAAACTCGATCATAGTAGTAGGAAGACTTAGATGAACGCACCTTGTTCAGAGTCCATTGTATGCATCATTATTTCCAGAGTAGGACTGTGGACGTGGTACATTCCGAGACGTTTCGTCGGCATCGTTAGTGAGTCTCGCCATTCGTAGCACCATATTACAACTCGTTAAAGAGACAAATGAAGCCCGTCCTTTGACCAAACATGTGCTAAACAGTTATGGTATCTCCCCTTCCGCCCTTACCTATTTACATTCCCTGTCACAATTTTTTATCGTGCTTATTTTTAATGTAGTGTGGTGTTCTCCTTCGATCGGCATTCATGAAAACCCTTCACAATCCACACTGTCGTTATCACCCCCTTCACCCTTGTGTTGGAAATGTTGACCAGAGTCTGTCATATTGTTACTTAGTCCTTCTTGGGTCCTATCAAAGTCTCCCTTTTGCCCAATCTAATCCGTCTGCTATCTCCTTGGTACATGTATTTCACTCGACCCCTGCCCCCCATCTGTGCTATTTGAGGCTTAATTAACCCACCCCTGCGTCTGTGTGATTAATTCGAGGCTAAAGCCTTTGAGTAAGTCTCATAGTCATGCCTTTCCTACATGTATCACGTCTCTTGTAAAACCTAGTGTCAGCCAACTAGCTCCAATTGCCGCTCGTCTATCCTGTCTCTAACCCTAATACGAAGTCTATGACTTGTCATGCCCTAGTTGCTTGTGTGCCAACTCACAAATGTTGTGGTACTGCTGGCTTTGATTAGGGCAATGTTGAACCACAACGTTTGTGGGTTGGCACACAAGAGACTAGGGCATAGGAAGTCATGGACTTG